GAGTTGAAGGTGCCGTTCATTCATCCATTTATAGATGTCAGCAAGGCATGACCAGATTCTTGCTGAGACTGTAACATGGTCTGGTGGGAATGACAGGAAGAGCTGGGTATCGTCAGCATAGCAGTGGTATGACAAGCCATGAGAGCGGATTATTGAACCAAGTGAGCTTGTGTATATGGAGAAGAGAAGGGGACCAATAATTGACCCTTGGGGTACCCCTGTGGATAAACTATGCACTTCTGACACTTCTCCCTTCCAAGACACTCGAAAAGATCGTCAGATCCTGAGATGCCAAGTTCAGAGAGCGTGAATAAGAGGATTTGATGGTTAACTGTGTCAACGACAGCAATAAAAGGATGTTCTATGTCAACGTGAAGATATGACAATGCAAGGCAATGGAAATAATTCACAGACATACATTTTAACATTTTTAAAGTTATAAAAAGTAAGTGGACAGAAAATGTTAAACATCCAAATTAAAAACTTTTCTTTGTTGATTGTAAATGAATTCACTTGGCCCACCTGCAGTTCTGTCAGAGCCAACCATTAGACCGCGGCTTTAACATGGGTATCACTGGAGTAGCTCATATTACTGTCCATGAAAATCGCATCATTAAATAACTACCTGCTCTCTTAGTCCCATGCCTAACTCATTTGCTCTTTGTCATCCCTCTCCTAGCATTGATTGACTGTGACCCTCCCCTTTTCAATGTCGATATGGCTGCAGTGGAGACAAACATCCTGCGTTTCCGCCTACAGGAGCCCACCTTTAGCCCCTCTGAGTTCTGTGAGCGCATGGGCCAAGTTGACGAGGGAGAGGAGGCCGCGCTTGGACAGGGCATTATAGTTCTCATGTACCCTCATTATGGAAACTCAGTTCGTGCTGTGTGGCATCTTGGAATTTCCCCTGAAGATACACAGCTGGCCATCCAGAAAATGCAATTTGTGGCTTCTCAGTTCTTGAAGGAGAAGCTCCGGGCACAGTGAATACTGATAGCTTCCAAGATGTCTACTGGGACTGATAAGAAAGGTTGAGGGAAATACACACTGGATGAGATCTGGAGTTTTTTTTATTGCACATGTCTTTATATAATAATTTTCACCTGAATCAGTTTTTTATTCTCAAGATTGTAATACCATTAAATCTGTTACACCGTTGTTTTTTGGTCATAGTTCTTTTTCTTCAGTATTTTGCCCTCAACTCTTTAGAAATGTCATATTTGTATTGAAAGAACTGATACTGCGGCCATTATGATCGGAAAAGAGCTCAACATTTCTTGCCACATTTGGGACAGTTTTGTTTGATTTCAGTTTCGGGAGTTTTATTACAATAAAGAAAATACCAGCTGTATCCAGCTGTAATTTTCAGACATGAAAACATTTTGTTATAGGACATGGTTTGTACAACCATATGGACACAAGATGGCAATGTTGTCTCAGTAATTGCAAGTGACCTCAGGCGTGGACGTGTAAGAGAAGATTAAATGCATTTCTCTTACTAAAAGTACCTCCTTTGCAGGGTTACAAGTTTGATATTGTTTTCGTATGGATAATGAAATCAAAATAAGGGAAATTAAAACGATTTGGCAGCGGTGGGATTCGAACCCACGCCATCGAAATGACTGGAGCCTAAATCCAGCGCCTTAGACCACTCGGCCACGCTACCTCGTCCCATTCACTTCACGACTCAAATATTTTATAGGTCAACAATTCAATATGACTTCATGGGCATTTCTCTTAAATATTGTGAGATACTACACACTATTACTATTTCAAAAGCTTGCTGCACAATACAGCCAGCTCAACCTTGTGTTTGCAGTGTATTTCCGGTGACATTTCAGCAGCTGCACCAGTCCTAATTTAAATGCTTTGTCAGAAACTCCTGTGAAAGTCTCTTCAAATTTCCCTACGAGGTTGTCTGCTCAGATATCTTGTGTACTTTACATTAAAACATCAGCGCTAGAATGTAATTAATCCAGTGTTGCATTACAGTGCAATCCCGTCGTCCCGGAACTGCGAACTCTCGCGTTTTTAACACTACAGTAATACGAATCAATTTCACTTTATCGACAATATTAGATTAATTAATAAAATCTTATGTAAATTAATAACAAGTAGATTTTCGATGAGCACGATCTGACTCTTTTGATACATCACTGGAAATCTTTTACATCCCCAGCCTGACACACACCCGATCCCGCGAAAACTATATTTCTGATTACCATGAAGGCAGCAGAGGCTTTCGGGGCGTGTCTGTCAGAGAGCAGTGTGTGTGTGCGGTGTGTACGTGTCGAGGCCCGACGTCACCGTGGTGGACGGCAACAGAAACTACAGCTGGCTTTCCAGGCACGTCTCCGGACCTTCGGGATACATTGGAGAACCGGGGCCGACCCAGACCGGTCTGTGAGGGGAGTTTAACCTGCCGCTGCTGCACTCCTGTCTGTTGGTTTAACTTCTTACTGGACCGGAGAGAAGGAAGAAGATAGAGGAGGAGTGATTAAAGGTGAGACTGTTTTCCGATTTTCGGGTTGTTTTTGAATGTGAAACATGGATTCTGCAGCAGGTAGACTAAACTCAAGTTAACGCTTTGTTTGCAGTTTGTTGTAAGATAAAATTATTCAGCCATTGTTGCTGTTGCATGATTTGAGCGATGCAAGAGTAAAGGAACTTTATGTCTAATGCTCGGGTCTGCAAGGTGTCAGCTGTCACTTTAACATCTGCCAACAAAAGAATCTACTGGAACTTACTGGTGCTTACAATAGTTAGGTCGCTGTTTTGCATGCTAATGCTCTAAATTCTGGTTCAGCCACTTCTGAGATAAAAAACAGAAAGCTCCCTCACTCGTGGCATGTGATGTTGGTGTACAGTTGTGCAGCCATGATGCATGCTTGTTGTGATCACGTACAACAGTATCACGGCTCCAATTACTGTCTTCATGTGGCTCTGTGTTCCTCTAACTCACCTGTTTCAGACTATATTACAGACTATATTCATTTCGGTGTGGATCACACCGTTCCCACCAGGACCGTACGTTGTTTTGCCAGCAGCAAACCGTGGATTACTCCTGAAATAAAGGTCCTCCTAAAGGACAAAAAGAGAGCTTTTAGGTCAGGGACAAGGAGGAGGAGATGAAGACTGTGCAGGGAGAGCTGAGGAGGAAGATCAGGGAGGGGAAACGCATCTACAGGAGGAAGATGGAGGTACTATCCCCTACAGCAGACGAATGTCAGCGGAGTCTGGAAGGGCCTGAAAACCATTTCAGGTCACAGGTCACAAGGACTCCAACACTGAACTGGTTAGGCATCAGGAATGGGTGAATGACCTGAACACAACAGATTTGAACAGCCATCCACCCCTCCCCCTACCCATTCCACTGTGCTGCAACCTGGTCTCCCCACGCTGCTGACTGCACAACCCCCACCTCACCCCCCTGCACATCACTCTCTGCTCCCCCACCATCGTCACCCTGTACACTGCAGACTTCTCCCATAAGACCCATACGACACCTAACTGTCACCTGCAGAAGTTCTCTCTGATGATTCTGCCATTGTCGGCCTCATCACTGATGGGGACGAGGGGGAGTACAGAGAACTCAACCAAAGAGCTGGTGGTGGACTTCCGCAGGCGCTTCTCCCACACCGGTGAACATCCAGGGAAAGGACATTGAGATAGTGGACTCTTATAAGTACCTGGGTGTTCACCTGAACAATAAGCTGGACTGGACTGTTAACACCCAAGCTCTCTACAAGAAAGGCCAGAGCAGACTTCAGCTGCAGGTCCTTTGTTCCTGCTGCAGTCAGACTGTTCAACCAAGCCTGCTCCCAGTAGATCACAAAACACACAACCGGACAATTCACTCTGACATTGTGCAATAATAATGTTATATTGCGTTTACCAATCCACTTTGTGCAATAACATGTTACACCTTATGTTCACTGTGTGCATGTCTGTGTTACACGGAATATTACGGACTACATTTTTGTCAAAACTGCAGCTCAGCTTTTTTTAAATCAATTTTTTACTATCTATCTATTTTTTTTGTACATTCTTAATTTTTCTTTTTTTTATTTAAATTGTACTGTGTTCACTTTGCAATCTTTGCTCTTTGCTGCTGTAACAATGTACATGGTAAAAACCGTGGTAAAAACCGCCCAGCGCATCACAAGGTGTCCACTTCCTGCCATTGAGGATGTCCAAAGAGCACGCTGTCTGCGGCGAGCTCATGGCATCCTTAAAGACTCCTCCCACCCTGCCCACAGACTGTTTACCCTCCTGCCCTCCGGCAGGCGCTTCAGAAGCCTCCGGACCAGAACCAGCAGACTGAGGAACAGCTTTTTCCCCAGAGCTGTTTCTCTACTGAACTCTACCCCCCGAACTCTGAACTCTGTCTCTCTCTCTCTCTCTCTCTCTCCCTCTCTCTCTCCGCCCCCTGCTGACCCCCCCCTTTCCCCTGCATATCACCTTACACCCATCATCCCCCACCACTCCTCCTGGTCACACACACACATCTCTCATCCACCTGTATTATTGTATTATAGTATGTTCATATTATGTCCATATTCTTTATGTTATCTGTAAACTAGTATAGTATGCTCACTGCACCTTAATCTGTATATTATTAGTATAGCATGCTCACTGCACCTTAATCTGTATATTATAATCCTAAAAACACACTTATTTTGTAGCATTACTTATTTATAGCATTTATTTATATTTATTGCATCCCATTAATCCAGCCATCCAGATATACCTAATAATTCACTTTTTTTGTCTACATCTGTAAATTTTGTAATTACTGTACATAGCACAGACTTTTGCACTTTCTGCTTATTTGCACTTCTGGTGAGATGCCAAACCTCATTTCGTTACTCTATACTTGTATATGTGTAATGACAATAAAGTTGAATCTCATCTCATCTCATCTCATTATCCCCGTTGTGGGATAAATAAAGGATTATCTTATCTTATCTTATCTTTCCTTTTAGTGAGCTGATATGGAGATGCATGATCTTATCAGTAAAGGAAGCGAAGATGAAATGAAGGTCTGGAGAAACTCTCTCCCAAAGACCAACTTTGTTTTCAAGGTGAGCTGATATGGAGATGCATGATCTTATCAGTAAAGGAAGCGAAGATGAAATGAAGGTCTGGAGAATCGCATAATAAGGCTAAAAGCACTTTGTATTACTGAGTTGTGTTCAGACATGATCAAAAGATCACAGTTCTGCAATTTTCTGCGAGTACAGCTCTTTACCTTATAAGGAGAGATGAATTGTACACGACTCCTGCACACACACCACTATTTAGTGGTTTTTACCACGTGATTACGTTGCATCTAAACACATCTCTCTCTTCTCTCACAGCTACATAAAGAGCAGCATTCAGTGCAAAGCGCTTCTTATGAAAGCAGCTGTGCACCAGCCAGCTGCTGGAATGAATCGCCTTACTCTTTTTCTATCTGAGGGTTGTATCTGAATGTCTGATGGTGTATTTTCAATCTTGTTTGCAAATGAAAAGCCGTCCATTTTCTTCACTTTTCTACATAGAATGAATCAGAAACAGTGGAAGAACCTAGGTCGTATAAGGTTTTGTCCGAGAGTGCACGGGTATGTTACAGATCAAGTTATATTTTCCTTTTCCGCCTCTTCCCCAGCGCCTATTTATTCCTCTCTTCTCCTCACTCCAAACTTATAATTTACTGTTCTTGTCCTTTACGTTTTTGTCCGCTTTTCTTATTTCCCTTGACTCTTTCTATGGCTGACGTTATGTTTCCTAATCAATGCATCCTCCCTCCTTTCAGCCATTATTCATCATGTACTTAATTCAATTGATCTGCATTAACAAACACCAGAAATAATGTTTTCTATTTTCCTTAGACTGGTAAAAAATTAAGGTCCTGCGACTTAAATATGCCTGAAATAACGCCCACAAAAAAAGGGAAATACAGAAGAAAGTTGAGGTTATAACTCTTTTTATAAGTATGGCTGTGCATTTCAGTATCACACCAGGCTTTAACAACTTTAAATGTGATACTGGACTCCTTTGACTGAGCTGTAAAATGCTGAAGTTGCACGCTCCTGCAGGAGAAGGAGGTGTGATGTAACATGTGTCGAAAGAAGCTCCTCCTCACAGACAGACACGTCACATGATGCCTCATGTTTCTCTTCATGGGAATGTTCACCCTACATAGAAACACGTCTAAAATCCCTCCTCGACAGTGGAACAGTGGTGTACGAGGCCGAGGGGGACGGTTTGGGTAACTGGAACTGGTTTGGATTACAAGTAACATGTGATTCATGGTTCCTACCAAGAAAGTTATTTTTTGAGATGCCACGACTGGTGACGGTCAAAGAATGTCACACAAGATATTCCTCACATTCATTTTAAAGCTGCTGGAAAATATTTAAACAGGTGATATGTGCAATTATTTTTTTTACATAAAATGGTTAAAAAATACCTAGAAATATATGTGCTGATATTTACCAAATATTTATGACAATGTTCCATCAAAAAAAAAAAAAAAAATCATTTTGTTCAAGGAAATAAAACTATTATTTTGGTCTCCTGTTTTCCGTCAAAACAAAAGAAACCCCAGACGATTGTGACTTGCCTTTTTATGAATAAAACAAATAAAAACAATGGTGGCTGTTTATCAATAAAGACAGCGACGGTTCTAAGTAACTTCATAATGTCATTACAATATTTGCCTGGTCATTGTTTTGATTAAGAGAGCCCTAGCAGATGAGATTGAAGACTTTACATTTAAGTTATCGTGGGATAGAAGACCTTGATTGACCAACACTTACACTAAACTGCATTTTACCCCCGCATCATATAAAAAAAAATAACATCTTATGATCTCTCTATCAATCAGTTTAATTTCCATATCATTTTCTTTCTCGTTTGTATCTATTCATGACATATTCATGCTTTTTTTCCCTTCCTTCCTTAACTTGTTTCTTTGCCCCTGATGTGCATGCTGTTTATCAAACCAAACTAAACCATGTGTCATTTTACAGCAGGCTCATGTTAGCGTTGGTGTGTCCCTGACTTTTGTTGTAACATGATCTGCATTAGAGGGATCCCTTGCCAGAAGCTTCCCTTCCTTCTTTTATGTTTTCTAAAAAGCTTTTAGGGAAACTAAGCTGTCCAATATTTTTGTTTGCATAATATCGCCGACTGACTGCTAATATGTTGCGTTTGATCATTGCTACAGGATGCATGGAAACATGCAATAGAGAAGGCCAAAGCCATGCCCGACCCCTGGGCTCAGTTTCACCTGGAGGAAATCCAGACTGAACCCTGCACTCGTTACAGGTACGACTAACTCAAGAGTGCCTGTTAATCCTCCGCAGTAATACAACTTTTTAAGACTTGTCAAAGCAAGGAGCAAAGATGAGGGTAAAACCAATTCATGAATATTGTGGCAAAAAACTTCACTGTAGAGATCGCTGCGTCAAACAAAGAGGAACCAAAACAAGAAGCTGAGAGGCGCTAAAACAGTCTATCGAAGGAACCGCTTAATTAAGTTCTTATATCAGAATTTTGATTGGACACTCTCGAATAGTATTAAGATGAAACATCATTTTGTAAGAGTCTACGCTGACACGTCCTCACATTGATGTATTGAGTTGGTATTGGATGGCTGTTAAAGTGGCTGCAGGTTCATATCTGGGTCAGTGGTGCTAATCTTAAATGTTGACAAACATCTCAGGATCACACCGGGCACGTCAAGCAGTGACGCCTCTTTGGCCCGACCCAGTTCGTCTCTTTATTTATCTCGTAATGTGAGCGGGAGACTGAAGTGTCGACCCAGAGATCCCAGCCTCTTGCAGAGTTCTCAGACAGTGGAAAGAGTTTTAGTAAGACAGCAACACAATTAAAAGGGCGTGGGCAAGAGAGCAAGGAGAAAGTGAACTCGTTTGTCGCGTGTGTCAGGTTGTTACATAACATACAGGGCTGAGACTACAGGGGGGAGAGGGATTTTAAGGAGCTGGGATCTACCCTCATCTAACCTTTTTTTTTTCATGTGCTAATTTTACCCCCTGTAACCTCACTCCTCCTCCTCCTCTCCTCCTCTCTCTGTCGTATCAACTTGATGGTATGAAAGTCCCGGTACACGCTGTCCCCAGCCTTAAACGGTTTGTAGGCAGGAACCAGCCACGATTAGATTTTTGTTTAAGAGAAACCAGCTCAAGAGCACGCTGTTAAAACGGAGAACTCCAGTTTATCACTGAGTTTGTTCAGGTTCAAATCTGTTGAAGCTTTGCAGCCGCACCTTTTACTCCTGTTGTATTCATTAACTCAGGACACACACCCTGCCAAGCCAAACAGACACACTGACCCAGACACGCAGTGTGTACACACACGTTAGTATCACCATATTGACTGTCAACGTTCTCCTGCAACTACGTCTATCTCTTATACGACAAAATCCAAAAAGTCCCAAAGGAAATGGGCGTATACAACGTGACCTTTCATGACCGAGCACAACCTTTATGTTTAATTTCTCTCTTTGTTGGTCTCTTCCTTAGAGAGGAAACTACAGGCTGAGTGTGCCCCCGTGACAGGAATGAAAACAGGCATGTTGACTCCCTCGCAGAGGCCAAAGAGTAACTTGGCTAGCGTAGCGACTAGAACTCTTTTCACTGCTGAACCAGAGTTTTATAAATCACATGATAAAGGAGTGCACACAGACAGCTCAGTGCTGTAGACGGTCCAGCGGGGGGAGGGGGAGGGGTGATTTGTGTTTTAACAGGTGGAAAGTGCCATTTAGTCTACTCCTCACAGAGCAGGGTCACAGGGTCTCCTCTGTGACCTATTCGAGACCCGCTCATGGAAAGTCTCACAGCTGCTGCTCTTGATAGGAGTTGCAGGAGAATTAGCGGAAAAGTTTTTGTTCTTTTTGTCTTTCACAATTTGTAGTGTGAAAAGATAAAAACAATAACCTCCTCGAATTACATTGTGTAACCATCAGTCAGTCAGTCAGTCAGTCAGTCAGTCAGTCAATATGTAAAGATAACAGGCATCGAACATACTGTTCATGAATCTGAAACCAGCTAATGTTTAGTTTCAAGGTTAATAAATGATCAGAAATGGTTGTAGGAGTTGCAGAGAATTAGCGGATTCGGAAAAGTTTTTGTTCTTTTTGTCTTTCACAATTTGTAGTGTGAAAAGATAAAAACAATAACCTCCTCGAATTACATTGTGTAACCATCAGTCAGTCAGTCAGTCAGTCAGTCAGTCAGTCAATATGTAAAGATAACAGGCATCGAACATACTGTTCATGAATCTGAAACCAGCTAATGTTTAGTTTCAAGGTTAATAAATGATCAGAAATGGTTGTTTTAGACTTGTAAATGGATTCATTCAGCACTTCTCCTTTCAAAATGTGACACGGCTCAAAGTTTCCAGCCGTTCTAGCAGCTCTTTGATGCTGTAGCTATTTGCGTTTTTGGCCACATGCTAACACTGATATTGAGTTAATAACTCCTTGGATATTTCATTCTGATTGAATCTATGTGATTAATGTTTTTAATTTGATTGTAATTTAAAGACCATCTTCAAGCGTCATACATGTATTTATTTAATTCACAGGTACAACGCCATCACAGGAGAATGGGCTCAAGACCAGGTCCACATAAAGATGGGTGCCCAGGTATTCTTACGCTCTAAAATGTTCCAGTTTTGACAATATGTGTAGTGAAATATATATTATTTAAAAAAAAAAGACACATGCTACACATTCTTCTTGCGTCTTATCTCTTGCCCAATTCATTTCCTCTTCCTGGTTTCTCACAGCCGTTTGGGAAAGGGGCCATGAGGGAGTGCTTCAGAACGTGAGTAGAAACATTTCTCCACATTCATCAGTTCTCATCAAGCGGTTATTGCCCTCATGTTTGAGTCGTCCAGGCCATCATGGTCTCAGTGTAAACCAAACGAGGGGTTTCTGTCGTTCATAGATGGACGCCTTTAGGAAGTGCAGGACCAAATTCCTCAAATGTTTGGCCCTGACTCAAGAGGATGCTGCTGTCAGACTCGGGGGCCAACGATGGTTCTCACTGAAGTCTTCCATGATGGCACTGGAACTTTTTTATTTTTAACTTTTCTAACTCCCCTGATATTTACTAAATTTAAATATGTGATTCTGTCACGGCTCGGCTGTGTTTAGGTTTGTGTGCGACATTGCAGAATGAAAGAGAAAAGAGGATGAAGGTCTTTAGTTATGTGGGAAATGTTAAAGAGCGGCATCTCAGCTGTTTGCTGTTTGCAGCATCCCACAGAAAACACCCAAACAGACAGAGCCAGCCCAACAAGCACAAACAAGTCAAGTCCTGAAGAGAGGAAATCTCTACATCTGAAAGTGGTATTTTGTTCCTGTAACATTTGGCTTCCGTCGGGTTGAACCAGATTGGACTTTCTATCCTCTGATCAGCTTTTGTTGTGTTTTTTTCTTCTTCTTCTGAATAAGGTTTTAATAATGTGGTGTTTCTCACTTTTATTTCCTTTTTCCTCCAGGAAGAAACTCTCCAATTTCTCACACAGCAGCAACTGGAAGTCGGCGTCCAATTATGTGGCCAAGCGTTACATGGAGGAAGTGGACAGAGGTGTTTACTTTGAGGACGTCCGGCTGCAAATGGAGGCCAAACTCTGGGGAGAGGAGTTCAACCGTCACCGACCTCCTAAACAGGTACATATACATTTGAATATCATTTTCTTATCGAAGCCATTTAATCACCAAAGACGGTGAATAAACGCCTATTATAGCCTTGACGTGTGTGAGACTCAGACGACTGATTTGTCTGTTTGGAATTGCAGGTTGACATCATGCAGATGTGCGTTGTGGAGATGGCAGAAAGACCAGATAAACCTCTCTTCCACCTGGAACATTACATCGAGGGCAAATACATCAAATACAACTCCAACTCAGGCTTTGTGAGGGACGACAACATTCGTCTCACTCCACAGGTGAGTGATTGTGCCTTTTGGTATTCATAGTCTTAATACAGATAATAATGACTTAAGCCATCTTTTATTTATTCTGCTCTCATGTACCCATCAGGCCTTTAGTCACTTCAGCTTTGAGCGATCGGGTCACCAGCTGATCGTTGTTGACATCCAGGGAGTCGGAGATCTCTACACTGACCCTCAGATCCACACAGAGAAGGGCACCGACTTTGGAGATGGAAATCTAGGTCCCTCATCTTTTCTATTTCTGCAGCGTACACGAGCCGAGCACTGGTTTGACATTATCCAAGAAGCTGTGTCATTCATACTTGTGTTGCAGGTGTGCGAGGCATGGCGCTGTTCTTCCACTCCCACCTGTGTAACAAGATCTGCAAGAGTATGGGCCTGACGCCTTTCGATATTTCACCTGCGGAGAAGTCCCAGATGGACTCCACCAACAAACTGCTCGTAATCACAACTTGTCATGTTTTTATAGACGCTGCTCATCTGCTCCGCTGGGATCTTATTTCCTGAGAGAAGATTAGTTTTTGATCAGCGAAAAAGAACGGATCTGCAGCTGAAAATAGGGAGAGGAGCTCATTTAAAAGCATTAGCATAACAATTATAATACACTATTCTCTTCTTCAGTGTTTGTTGTTTATTCTGCTGCTCACTGCTGACATGTCCTGAAGAGTTATTCCTCATTTTTTGATCGCAGAAGTCGGCTCAGACGGTGCTGCGGGGCTGTGAGGAGCCCTGTGGCTCTCCTCGTGTTCGCACCATTTCAGTGGGCCGGGCTCCTCCTTTGCTGTCCCGCCTGTCTGAGACGTCGTCTGCAGACGAGAGCATGAGCGACGTGGACTCTGTGCCCTGCTCCCCTCTCATCCTGCCCTGTTCCCCACTGGCTGCATCAGGATATATGGGAAAGTCCCCCTTTGGTACATGGAGACAATATCACACACTGCACATGTTAACCGTGTTTAATGAAATAAATTGTGTTGTCCAGATTCTAAATGTGTTATCTCCACCTTTTACAGGATACACTTTAACTGGGATGTATGAATATGAACGACTCAACAATAACAACACAGGTGAACACAAGGTGAGCAACTTTTCAGTGGGCATGACACCAAAGGTACAGACTAAGTCAATAAGATCAGTGTTTATGTGTTAAGGTCAGAGAAGTGGATTAAAAATGTTACTGGGTCAAAAAACCTCCGTGTTTACAGTCGAGAAGGACTAAAACTTAAAGATACCTTTACATTTTGTCTTGAGCCATGACTTTTATTTGAACCAATAATTTAGACGTATTATATGACAACATGATTTGATGACTCGAAGACTAATTAGTCCTTCACTGGGTCGCTCCAGCTAAGAACCAGTCCTCTTATAATTTAGATTATAAAGTCACCAGAGAGGCTTTTTAACTAATAGCTAGTTGGTAACCGAATAAGCTACAGGAAAAAGATGTAAGAAACTTATATTGATCTAAGGTCATAATTACGGCAGGTGGCAAACATAAAAAAAAAAATAATTCTCAGGCAACCGTAGTTTCAGTTCCCATGAACTTTCTGGCTGAAATGAGCCTCTCACTTTATACGGTCGATGGAGCCACTTGAAATCGTGGAGCACACTGTAGTAAGAAAGTTCTACATTGAAATATTATATAAAAGCTCCTGTGTGGAACTTTTGGTTTGTGTCGATTTTGGCGCCCCCCAGTGGACAAAGCAATACTTCTTATCTCTTTCTGATTCTGTCCTGTGTGTAGGTCTTGTTTTTTGTTTTTTTTTAACAAAAAGTCTCATCCTGCTTTCTTTAAATAGTCAGATTTATCACTCATTGAGGATTCATGCTTCAGAAAATGTAAAAATAAAAAAATAAAAATGTTTCTGTAGCTTCCAGTCAATCACTTGGTCTGCCACCTTACGCCCCAGCAGTGGTTTCATCTGTTAAAAACTATTATCTATAAATAGTCGATCTTCATATTGGTGGTCTCTTTTGCTTTAGTAGCTCATTAGTGTTCATTTCAGCATGTTTCATAATCCACTAAAAACTCCTCACTGTGGCTTTAATTAAATTAGGCCCCATAAGATTTCTGTTTTGCAAAACTTCTCTCTGTGGTGCAACTTGAATGATCACGTAGTCATGATTGATGTCGTAACAAGGCTGAATTTAAAAAATAAACCCAGCTGGTCCAACAGTCTGTAAGTCCTGAGTCTGACAAATAAATGATTTTCATTCTTCTCTGTCGTCAGGAATCCGACAGCGGAAGTGACAGCGGCTACCCCAGCGAGAGGAGGAGTGAAGGCGACCCAAATGACAACGTAGACGGGGTAAAGGTTTCCATTTGACTGGAATGATTTTGGACCAAAATGTCCAGAATTGATTTTTAAAACAAACAAAAAATACATACAAAACATCCATTATGTACAGATGAACTATGCCAACAAAAGTATTTTATGTCTGACATTAATTAACATAATCACTTTGCTAAATATCTTTTAAATATGTTGTAGCTTCTGAGGATTAAATGTGTTTAAACTAGTTTTACATCTTGAATCACCAGGTTGTTTTTTAACACTTTATAAACATGTGAGACTTCTCTTGTTTCTGTCTCTCGTTCACTCTCCTTTGGCTTCACTCCTCTCAGCAGCTGTTAGTCTCTTGACATTTATTTTTCTTCACATGTATTTGAACTGTTTCTGACATGACTTTCATGAATGCATGTTGTATCGTCACGTAGGCCAATCATCGCTCCCACAGACATTACTCTGAGTCGGATGAGGACAGTTTCAGACGGGTAAACAAAACGTAGAGACATCAGTGTGCAAATGTCATCCTCACCTTCATCATCGACGACATCAAATAACCCTCTGATTTTCCCCCTAATTTTCTTTCTTCACTCTGTTTTCACCCCTTTTTTTTTTTTTTTTTTAACAATGAAAACCATCCCTCACCTTCCCTCTAATCAACTCCTGCTGCTCTTTGTGTTCCCTCACTAGAGGAAGATGGTAGCTCCTCCGAGAGTCTCTGCAGCTTTAAATTCATACAATCCTGACAACGAATGGGTGATTATTTGCATGGAGGCCTTAAAATCTGGGATTTTGCCCCCTGTGCATTTCTGTGCCAGCTTTACGCTAAAGCATTATAAAGCATGAGGCTTTGATTTGAGCTACTGCTTCGACAAGCTGCAGCTTTTCCAGGTCAACTCGTTCTTTAATTCCTGAAAAGAAATTGAAAGAGGAGAATTGCTAAACACGCAGATGAGATTTGGAACTGAAACACCATCTTACCTCTCTTTATCAACTCTACTGTTCTCATGACTCTTTCCATGATAACTTGTGTTTGTGTGCTGTTTTCACGCTTTACATGATTTTGCATTCACCGAGGCCAGCGGGGGTGTACTCCTCCTGCTCGCAGCTGAAATGTTTCATTTATCTGTTTCCTCCTGTGAGGAATTGTATTCGCTTTATGAAACAGCCAGACAATAGCTTTAAAGATTTAATATTTGTAGAATGTTATTTCTAATATGTGAAACCTTTGCCAGAGGATAGGTGTCAGACGGGTGATTACCACGCTACCAAAACATTTTTTACGTCTTCGATGGCAAAGATTATTGATTAGCAATGATACATTTGATGGTTAAAGGAAATCAGTGTGAGATTTATTACTTATAACTACACAGGACAAAATTAGCAAAGACATATTGGTAAGTGGTACAACATTGACCACAGGGGGCGCCAAAGTCCACACAAATCAAAAGCTCCCCACAGGAGTTTTAAATTAAGGCTACATTTTCTGGATGAGTACACCCCTGAATTTAATATTTTTCACGATTAATTTCCTTTATCTAGTTTTTTTCTTTCATTGCCGTGATGTAAAATAGATGTAGACATTCTCACTCCCTCTTTTCTCCCCTCAGCTGACTGAGGAAAACTGGAGTTTCTACCACTCGTCTCGCGCTCACGTCCACAGATCGTCCTGCGTGGCCACAGAGGTGGAGCGGCTCAACGCTCTGCTGCAGACAAAGATTGGCCAGTCGAACCTCGGGAAGGTAAAAAGAAATCTGACTGGCTTGTAGATGATTTTATATGTAATACTGTATGTATACTACTTTGTTTATAAACTGGATACACTGACATTTTTTTTCGCTGCTTAGTAGTATTTTTTATACAAAAGTTTTTGCTCTTTCTTGACGACCTACAATGAGCTAATGTAGAATACTGGAGGTCAGGTAGACTACAGCTGGGACATACAAACTAACTTTCTGGTGTTCAATGAAAAATATCGACCCCTTAAATTCCCCATGAAATATAAAATATGTTATCCCAGTTTTAATCCAGCGTTAATCCTATGTTCGTTTATCTGCCAAATATATTTCAATACAGCATTATCTGAGTATGTTTACAGTAAATGCATAAGAAATTAAAACTACGATTTCTTATCTGATTATGCCAACAGAAAATGACAACCACAAAGTTAGCCTAGCCAAAACTACATATGCTGCTGTTAGACTAATAAGACAGTTTTGTATTTTGCGGTGATTTATAGAATAGAATAGAATAGAATGTCTTTATTGTCATTATACAATTGTACAACAAAATTATTTGGCTTCACCTTAAAGTGCACACACATACAAGCATCCTCAGCTAAAAACAACAAAAGAAGAAAATAAAAAAAGTCATTTACAGGTGGTAGCATAACAGAATATAAATAGATATTGCAGAAATATAAAATAGATATTGCACAGTATGAAATGTAAAATATTGCAGAAATCCTCTTAACCTCCTGTTTTATTGTTTTCCTCTGTTTCGACATTGAGTGTAACTTGGAGAGTTTATCCTCGATCACCCTTTTTCCGTGTAGGTCCACTTGGCGATGGTGCGGTACCACGAGGCGGGTCGTTTCTGTGAGAAGGACGAGCAGTGGGATCAGGACTCGGCCATGTTCCACCTGGAGAGAGCAGCTCTGTGTGGAGAGCTGGAGGCCATTGTAGCGTTAGGACAGTGCTACATGCAGCTGCCTCATCACATCCTGCCTGACTTGAAGTTCGAGGTAAAAAGCACTTTCTTTAATATTTTTTTTAAACTTATAGGAATAAATCTTTTGGTTTTTGTACCGAATGCACCTTTGTTTCTCTGACATTGTTTTCTGTTGTTTGCAGGATAATGCAGGAAACAGGATGAAGGGTTTTAAATATCTGCTGCTGGCAGCCGAGGCTGGAGAGAGATCGGCTATGATCACAGTGGCCAGAGGCTTTGACACTGGGATCAGTCTGCCAGCTGACAGGTCAGTGACACAGGGTTAAATTTGGACCCACTCTTGTTTTGAAGTTTGCCAGAATTCTGATATCTCAGACATTGGCAATACCGCCCCCTAGTGGAAACTTGAGATGATTTTTTTTTTTTTAATCCAAGAAGCAGGATTGTTCTGTTTGTGATGCTGAATGTTTTTTGTGTTTTACATTTACATTTTTCAGAAAGCAGGACTGGAAGGAGGCGATCCACTGGTACGACGGAGTGTTGAACACGACAGACCACGATGAGGGGGGAGAGTTTGATGGGACGCAGGACGAGCCTCGACACCTGCTGCTGGCCAGAGAGGCAGAGATGTACCAAGAAGGAGGACACAACCTCACTGCTGACCCACAGAGAGCAGGTTCGACTTCATGCTTGTCCAACAAACCCAGCTGTGATAAATATAGTCTAATACTCCGATAGTCTTTTTTTTTTTACGAGAATTAAAATCCTACCTCATGCATGCTTGAAATAACACTCTTGATAAACAATTCAGCTTGATGAATATATGTAATTTGCTTAAGAGTTTATTTATAGTTAATTGATAGGAACAGATACATTATACATCCAATACAATGAAGTAGGACTTGATGCTGTGGTTTAAATCTGTGACATTTGCAGTATATTTAAAGGTTAACGAAGCATGCCCTAGGACTTTTTAAATAGCATAGAGAAATAAAATACATACCCTGCTGCAGATAATGATCTCTAGCTTCATCCTAACGTCCTAAACCTTCTCTCGTTTTAGGTGATCTGTTCACAGAAGCGGCAGAAGCTGCCATGGCGGCCATGAAAGGTCGACTGGCAAACCAGTACTACATGAAAGCTGAAGAAGCCTGGGCGCTAATGGAGGAGTAATTCTAGATTCACATTTCTATCACAAAAAGGCCACGGGGGTTCATTTGTCTGACCGATAGCCAGGCTAGTTTACATTTTATATTACAGGATGTTTGCTAACAGTGCTACGTGTGTGTGTGTGTGTGTGTGTGTGTGTCTTTCAGTCTTAGTTTAGCAGCATAGTTAATGAGTTTCTTTTTCCTGTTTCTTTTTCCTCTTTTCTTTAATCTCCACCTTTACTTACCTATTTGCTTCATGAATGCATGAAAGAGGAAAAACTGCAGAATCAAATAAAGAGTAACGTTTACTTTCTTTGACCCAAACGTTAACAAAGTTGTTTTATGATTGCATGTTAAAGAAAGAAAAATGTAAATAAAGTTTAATCTGCTTTTTGGGTAAAGGCTTGTCTCTATTTCTTTGTCTTTTTCTCCGGGCTACAACTCTGACATGAAATGTCTGAAACTGAAACAATTTGTCCGCAAGTCAGAAGGATGAACATTAAATTGCATATAAATCGGTATAAAATTATTTTTCTGTTATTTTGTGGTTTTTGAAATTATTCCAACTTGTATTTAATCTTACAAACAAAATCCTCACACATCTAATAGCAAGAAATAAGGAAAATAACAAGAGACAGGCTTTAGTTCAAAGTTAAAAGTACGTCTGCAATAAGGTAAGTTAACTTGAACTGGTGACTTCATCTTTGAATTTGAAAACATTTTGACTCTACTGAACTCTACCCCCCCGAACTCTGAACTCTGTCTCTCTCTCTCTCTCCCTCTCTCTCTCCGCCCCCTGCTGACCCCCCCCCTTTCCCCTGCATATCACCTCACACCCATCATCCCCCCACCACTCCTCCTGGTCACACACACACATCTCTCATCCACCTGTATTACTGTATTATAGTATGTTCATATTATGTCCATATTCTTTATATTATCTGTAAACTAGTATAGCATGCTCACTGCACCTTAATCTGTATATTATTAGTATAGCATGCTCACTGCACCTTAATCTGTATATTATTAGTATAGCATGCTCACTGCACCTTAATCTGTATATTATTAGTATAGCATGCTCACTGCACCTTAATCTGTATATTATTAGTATAGCATGCTCACTGCATCTTAATCTGTATATTATTAGTATAGCATGCTCACTGCATCTTAATCTGTATATTATAATCCTAAAAATACACTTATATTTATAGCATTTATTTATATTTATAGCATCCCATTAATCCAGCCATCCATATATACCTAATAATTCACTTTTTTTAGTCTACATCTGTAAATTTTGTAATTACTGTACATAGCACAGACTCTTGCACTTTCTGCTTATTTGCACTTCTGGTGAGATGCAAAACCTCATTTCGTTACTCTATACTTGTACATGTGTAATGACAATAAAGTTGAATCTCATCTCATCTCATCTCATAATTTTGTCTTTCACCTTTTATTGTTTTGCAATCTCAGCTTACTTGTACCACAACCTAGCAAAGACATACTTCTTGAAAAATAAATGTTCTTATCCTGTATGCAGTCAAGATAATAATAATGGAGCGTCTGTTCAAAAGCAACAAACAAAAATGTAAAGAGGGCAAAATCGTTGATTCATGTCAAAGCAACGCTGTACATATATAAACAACACAACTTCAGAAGGTCAACACTTTTTTATTCTTATTTTTTAATTCAGGTCTAATTACAGATTTTTTTTCCTCAACTGTTTATAGGTTCTTGTTTAAATTGCACATATATATATTTTTTTAATCTTTGCACTAGTTATGTACATTTCTTGTATAAGTCTATTTTTAATTGCACAGTTTAAGTTTTGATTCATCTAGGGGTATTCTTTAAATCTTTTTTTCTGGTTAATATATATGTATGGGAGGAGGGGGGGGAGTCGGTTTTGTGGTTTAATTTGTAACAAATGTTTCATGTGATGTCTTTGTAACCTGCTACTGGATGCTTTGAATTTCCCTCAGGATCAATATCTATCTATCTAAAGCTCTTTTTTTTTTTTAACGATGAGTGGGTCTTATCTTTTTGCTGAACTTTATTTTGAAAATGTCAACTTTATTCCTGACATCTCAACTTTTTTCTTCCAAATTTGTTTTTTATTTCCGACATTTCGATTTTTTTTTTTTTTTTTTTTTTTTTACTTTTTCGATTTTGTTTTATGGGGAAAAAACATTTTCCACCTATCAAGATTTATCTTATATCTTATCATATCAAATCTCCTCATTTGTTAATATATTATCGTGAAATCCGAGTGTCTTCAACGTGAGGTAGCGTGGCCGAGCGGTCTAAGGCGCTGGATTAAGGCTCCAGTCTCTTCGGAGGCGTGGGTTCGAATCCCACCGCTGCCATAATCTTTTCTTTACCGATCGAATAAAAGAATATTCTCCAGGTAATGAACTTGTATCCTAACAACCTGAATGTCCAGTGTGTAGTAAATAAGTGACAAAAACAAACATTAAAAACAAACACCTAGTGCTGATCTCGCTGTGCATTGTGGGCAGGAGCTCCTCCCCACGTGTCCGAGTGGAGCAGAGTCAACATGGTACCTCCACATCCTGAGTTAGTCTGAACTGCTTCACCTCTGCGCACCCTCATTTATGGGCTGTGGCACATGTAACACACGAATGAGGTAGCCAAAACAAGGTCCGTGAAGTGTGCAGGTGAGAGCCGAATTCATTTTTTTGACCTGCGTTTTAAACAAAATGAGTAAAAACCAAATCTTTGTGTTATTTTTTATTCATGTTAGCACGCCAGGCTAGCTTCTGAATGCTAGGCTAGGCAACGTTTAGCCGGCTGCCTGCATGTGAACTCACTAGTTTCGCTTCTTTTTACGTTTTTCTTTGTGTGCAGAACACGAGTAGGTTTAGTTAAACTGTGTTGTCTTTGACATGTCTTTTACATTTATATATATAATGATACAACTCGACCAGCATTGTAGTGCAGGCCTATGAGTACTTACTGCTAATGAAGCTAACGAGTCCAGTTTGACAGGAATAACTTGTTTACTGTTTTATAATATTAATATGTGAATCTGTTCAACGTGTTAACTTAACGTAACAAATGTGTCACAGTCTTGTTTTAAAAGATCAGTCAGTCAACTTGGAAGATTTCATTGTGTTGCACCATGTGAGTTGTACCTGGTTGTGTCAGATGTAACCTCACTGAACAGACTGCCTGATCATTTGTTTATTGACTTTTACATGGATTGTTTTCTTCTGTGTACGTCATGAACAACCTGACAACCAAATGCTTATGTGATCTAATCTTGTGTAACCTTGATATTATGATTCATATCGCTCTTGTTCAGTCTGCACCAGCAGCCTGTCAGCTGACAAGTCTGGGGTGTAACCACTTCAGTTTCAGTGTATAGATGTAAGTGTGCAATTCTGTAAATCAGTGTGTCTTTGTTTCCAGGTTGGATCTCTTAAGATCTGCTGCGGCTCCTCTTGTTTCATCTCCCCTCCCCTTCCTCGCTCTGTTCACATCAATATGGCCAGCGGGGATGATGATGACCCCATTATAGAAGAGGTACAGGAGAAGTTTTAGAATGAAGCTGTAACTATTCGAACCCACAATCGGCTTTAACCTGCTAATTAAATGTACATTTTATTCGTCTGTTATCCAAGATTAAAAAGCCAGGGCATTTAACTGGATAATGACAGATCAAATGTGTTTATTATTGTGCATACCTGTGCTGTTCTGCTTTTTTTTGGTTTCTCTTTTGACTCCCTTGTTGTGAATTTTAAAAGGAGAAATGCGTAAACATCCACAAAGCTTTCTGCGAGGACCAGATGCTACGATAGCTTTGTATGTTACACCCAGAGTGTAGAGTGACATGCTGCTCAGCTGGGACGCATTTGTGCTTACACACAGTGTTAAATACACGGCCTCTCTGGATTCTAAACACGTTGTGTTGAAAGTTGAACCAGGATATTGCTGATAGATCCACGTTTAGTGATCAGACATGACAACTAGAGATATTCTATTTTTCATTCATGATGCAGAGTCAGTCAGTGAATGTGTGTAATGGCTAATACAAATCCAATGGATTAAAAAAACGTACATATTAATCATTTAACTTTACAGAGAGACTTGTGTATGAGTGGCATACCGATACCGTCCTAAATTTTTTAGGTAGATTCAGAAAGAACTTGTTTATTTGGAACCAGAAATACTCATTAGCTGACTAAATATTGCAGAAGCCATACGACAAAGAGCAGAGGTCGGATTAGGACACACGGCCACTGCGACAAAGTCTCGAGCCTTAATGTATATGGGGCGTGCAACTTAACCGCCAGGATATCTGACTCCCCTTACTATCGTATTATTAAAGTTTGTTGACAACAATATAATTAAATGTGTTAATTGTCAATTAAAATGTGTTTCCAATATTCAGAAAGGCTTCTAACGTATCGCTTTGTCTACTTTATTCTGGTACAGATGCAATTTTCAATTATTGGAAGATATAAAATAATCCGTGGTCAGAATCAATGTCATGACCTCAAGTATTGATTTTGAATAAACGGGACTTTTAACACATTTTAATATGTGAATTATATGGAGGGATGAAGTGTTGCTCTCTGCTAACAATGGCTCTGTGTCGTGTAGCAGTTCTCTCATTTTCCCCTTATTGAAATGTTGTATGCTCGCAGCTCTGGGACAACATCCGTGTTAGGTAGCATGAGCCACGAGAATTATGTAGCGCTGCAAAACAGAATCAATGAATGAGGCAGATAAGAAAAACACTTGATTTTATAATGATGTCTATTTATGACGTTTTATTGTAATCTCGATGAGATCGCGGCCTCTCAGCAAAGACGCGACACTAAACAAAACACACCCAAGCAGCATCAGTAACAATCACAAGCAGGTCTGATATGAAACCCAGGCAATCAGAATAATCAAATAACTTTGATCAATGTTTTCCTTTTCCTCTCAGGTTGATGTTTACCTGGCCAAAAGTCTTGCAGATAAGCTGTATCTCTTCCAGGTGATGACTCCTTCAGTTGTACTTTATTCAAATGCATTTCACTTCTTTTAAAGGCCGTTGGTGAGTCCCTGACTAACGACCCTCTCTGTTATCTGTGACACAGTACCCTGTCCGACCATCCACCATGACCTATGATGATGTCAACCACTTAGCAGCGAGGATCAAACCCAAGCAGCAGAGGGTAAACAACAGTTATTTGTTTCTTAATGTATCTTCCATGACTCTTGAAAAAGTTTACAGATGTTTTCCTCTACCATATATATTGGAATATGTATATTGTCATGCAGGTGGAGTTGGAGATGGCAATCAACACAATGAGTCCAAACTACTGTCGCAGCAAAGGAGAGCAGATCGCTCTGAATGTGGACGGCACAGCGTACGATGAGACCA